CCATCTTGCTATTTAAGTTGTGTTCTCTGAATTTATCCGGGGGGGGGGCAAATTCCACTCCCCCTTTGATATTTTGGAATAACACAAACTGAAATATGTATGAATTATAAAATACTGCATTGCCAATATTAAACTAACTTTCATACAAGTCTGGTATACTTAGTTAGACTCTCCTACTGATCTACGTTCACTAGTTATATGGCAGTCAATTACCTAAACTTCAGAATCAACCTGTTATATTTTTATGCAATATTTGAACATAATAAAAACAAGAACGGATATATTTCATCTGATATATAACAATACCGACTGTAACTGTAAGAATTACATTCTTCTCACACATATATTGAAAATATGGTAAATACTGTGATGTTACATCACTCTAACACTGGGCTAATAAGTACAGTGTATACCACAGTGGATATTTTCATACAATGATATACTTGTAAGTTCTGTGATCTCATGACGACAGAAGGTATGGTCTGTAAGTTATGTGATATCGTGACAGAAAATATGGTCTGTATGTTCTGTGATCTCATGACGACAGAAGGTATGGTCTGTAAGTTATGTGATCTCATGACGACAGAAGGTATGGTCTGTAAGTTATGTGATCTCATGACGACAGAAGGTATGGTCTGTAAGTTCTGTGATCTCATGACGACAGAAGGTATGGTCTGTAAGATATGTGATCTCACGACAGAAGGTATGGTCTGTAAGTTCTGTGATCTCACGACAGAAGGTATGGTCTGTATGTTCTGTGATCTAACGACAGAAGGTATGGTCTGTATGTTCTGTGATCTCACGACAGAAGGTATGGTCTGTATGTTCTGTGATCTCACGACAGAAGGTATGGTCTGTATGTTCTGTGATCTACAAGAAAAGGACATATCTATCTTTCTACATAAAACCAGAGCTCTCATATAAATTCACACACGAAAAAACATGTTAGACACCAACATGATTAGATTTATCTACAGAGACCGCTGTTCAAAGATTATGCTTGTTATACAGTTTAATTGGGTTAGTATTATTCCTACCATTTATGACAGAATAAGAGAGTTGTAATTTTTACATCTTAAATGTCGACCATATTTGTTATATGGTGTTATATTAGTGTGTTTTATTAACAAATGTGGTACTTATGTTTATGATTTTACTTATATACTTCAACGATAGCATACTGGGCTATAATGAAACACGAACGGACATATGTTTTAATTGTTCTAATATACTTGTTAGAAACGGAAATTTATAATGTGTAATTTATCATAAAAGACAAACCTAGAAATTTAATTATCTGAAATTAAATCTTTAGTTTAGCACAGTATTATTTAGAGTTTGTAATTTTACTTCCATATATTTATGATAGCATATCTAAATGGCTACTCGTATTAGATTGATAAACACATTTGTAAGAAGCACGTGAATAATCAGTTCATATAGCCTAATTGAATAGAAAGTATACAAGAACTGTACACTAAATGAAATGTACATGTCCCATCAAATATCGAGAAATACAATATCGTGAATACACAGTTAGTGTTTTGTATTACTATGTAAAGTAAAAAACAAGTCAATTATGTTTACTGATTTTTAAACTCTGTGACATACAAAAGCTAACCATCACTGGTAAAGTATGGTAAACATTGAATTTATAATCTATTGTTTTTGAACTTATGTAGAGTTTGAACAGTTTATTTTCATTGTTAAGTATAATGCAAATGCGTGAGATTTATATCCTACTAATGAACATGTAATCATAACTAGTGACATATACAATGTATTATAATTGATTTGTTCAACTTTTGTTTACATAAAAGATATTTTCTGTCATATTGAACTTTTAATTTTATCAGACTCCTCTCTTAGTAAAAGGTCAACATACCCTCAACTGTGAGTGAGACTAAATATCCATTTGGTGATGATATGTTTGACCTGTCTATCATTTGCTTTTAATGTTAATGATCACAGACAGAAGCAAAAAGAACACCTATACATCGTAGTTCATTTAATGTTCAAAATGACAATATCTACAGAAAGGTAAGAACATAATTTTCTACAACGGTAATGGTTATATATAGTTCTTTACATAGATTATATAAATTTCTATGTAAAGAACTAATCAACTTATATTGCTGAACACGAAAATTATTGTACAGTATTTAAAGATTTAAATAACTGTCCTTTTCAGGAAGAATAAGTGTTATATATTACATACAGAAATGAAAACTACAGAACAAATAAATTGGAGATAAGTGTAGTGGTTATGAAATTCCAGAAAATGTCGTGTAAATTAAATATAGAAGCAAAAATTATAGATTTAATTAAATAATAAATTGTTTTATACATAAAAGGGTGGATAATTATAAAAGTATGTAAGGAAAATTATTGGCTATAATAATTATCTCACTCAAATAATGGATAATTTAAGATAGTATGTGGAATAAAAATTGACATATGTAATACATTGTGTTATAATAGCTGTCTCATTAAAATAATGGTTTTAATAGTACCTTTTAGGACACATAATTAAATATAGACTACAATGTTGACCATATAATCATATTTTGAGACACCCTGCGATGAGCTCATCATCCAATTGAACTACCTGTTTATAGAAACATCATATGCTATAGCAGTACCAACCTTAGTAAGACCATCTGACTATAGAACCTTAGTAAGACCATCTGACTATAGAAACTTAGTAACACAATCCACTTATTAACACCATCTGCCTTTGTAAAACATACAAAATTAAATATGTAAATGAAACTATGTATGTATGTTGAGACAAGTTGAAATCCTAAGGAAGTATTTAAAGTAACAATGTCTTCCTATAGAAACACCATTTGCCTATAGAACCATGGTAACACAGTCTGCCTATAGGAACATAACTCTTAGTAACAAAATACACCTATAGAAACACTATCCGCCTATAGAACTCTGGTAACACAGTCGGCCTATAGAAACACTACCCTTAGTAACACAGTCCACTTATAGAAACACTATCCGTCTATAGAACCCTGGTAACACAGTCGGCCTATAGAAACACTACCCTTAGTAACACAGTCCACCTATAGGAACATAACTATTAGTAACAAAATCCACGTATAGACACACTATCCGCCTATAGAACCTTGGTAACACAGTCGGCCTATAGAAACACTACCCTTAGTAACACAATCCACCTATAGAAACACTATTCTTAGTAACACAGTCCACTTATAGAAAGACTACCCTTATTAACACAGTCCACCTATAGAAACACTATTCTTAGTAACACAATCCACTTATAGAAAGACTACCCTTAGTAACACAGTCCACCTATAGAAACACTATCCGTCTATAGAACCCTGGTAGTCGGCCTATAGGAACATAACTCTTAGTAACAAAATCCACGTATAGAAACACTATCCGTCTATAGAACCCTGGTAACACAGTCAGCCTATAGAAACACTACCCTCAGTAACACAGTCCACTTATTAACACCATCTGTCTTTGTAAAACATATGCAGTATATAAGCAAAAAGTATAAAGCTGATAAGATTAAACAGCAGATTCAATGTTTTACTTGTAAAGCGAAACTGTAACTGTGATAATTGTAAGCATACGGTTATGTAAATTATATTAAATTATTAATTTTAAGACTTTGTTTGTTACTATAAAGTTGATGTCTTGTTGAGCTACATCACTCTCTAATGGTTCGTTCGCAAACTATCTGTACACTCATCATACTAATTCGCCCTCTGTTGAGTAACACATGAACTATGATGACACATGACATCTAGCAACATGTTCTCTGTTAAGTAACACTTGAACTATGATGTCATATGACATCTAGCAACATATTTTCTGTTAAGTAACACATGAACTATGATGACACATGACATCTAGCAACATGTTCTCTGTTAAGTAACACTTGAACTATGATGTCATATGACATCTAGCAACATCTTTTCTGTTAAGTAACACTTGAACTATGATGTCATATGACATCTAGCAACATATTTTCTGTTAAGTAACACATGAACTATGATGACACATGACATCTAGCAACATGTTCTCTGTTAAGTAACACTTGAACTATGATGTCACATGACATCTAGCAACATCTTTTCTGTTAAGTAACACTTGAACTATGATGTCACATGACATCTAGCAACGTATTCTCTGTTAGTAACACTTGAACTATGATGTCACATGACATCTCCTAACAATTCACTCTAGAAGTAGACAACTTCCGTCGTCAAGTGTCATGGCGGCATGTAATTACTAACGCGAAACTTTATTTGAATATCACAGTTGTTACTTACTTTATTTGAATATCACAGTTGTAACTTACTTTATTTGAATATCACAGTTGTAACTTTATTTGAATATCACAGTTGTTACTAACTTTATTTGAATATCACAGTTGTTACTAACTTTATTTGAATATCACAGTTGTTACTTACTTTATTTGAATATCACAGTTGTTTCTAACTTTATTTGAATATCACAGTTGTTACTAACTTTATTTGAATATCACAGTTGTTACTAACTTTATTTGAATATCACAGTTGTATCTTACTTTGGAGCTACTTCAGTTCCTTGTTGCATTAATGAACCTATTGTGAACCAGAAACTGTTGAGTATGGTAAACTGGTTCTCTAAGACGTCCGAGTCTGGATCGCAGGGATGAGGAGCCTCCCACTCAAGTGGTGTGAGTCGAGCTAGTATGAAGAGCAACAAACTGACACCCAAGTAGGCTATAGCCATGTAGATCCACACTTCCAGAGAAAGTGGTGACAGAAAAGAAAATAACTTTGGTACATTCTCTGTAGGTTTTCTGAACAGAATGCTGATTCCGAGGTTCATGAAAGGCATCGTGAAGTCCACAGCTTCTTCCCGCTCATATGTGATGGTGAGATCAGCAAGAGCTAGGTCAGCTTCCTAGAATCAAATCGAAATAGTTTATAGTTTCATTTTAAGACGAAACTTAACATACTGTGATAAAATAATGCTTTATCTCCCAAGTTCTTCTATAGAAATACACAAAATATTTAAATTAAATTGGTATTTTGATTGAATGCAACTTATTTTCATTCCGAGATGATCGTCTTTTCTGTAAAATCAGTCAAAGTAAATTAATTGATTTTTATGACAGTGATCACTTTAATGAAATTATGTGTTAAAGTCACCTGGTGAAATTTTTTGTTGTTGTTTTATAGCAAAGACACATCGTGTCCACCAAGGGGATCGAACTTCGGATTTTACACAATAGAAATTTCCTCAGACTGCATAACTTGTTAAGTACTCTTCCCATACTTAAGAAGAAAAACGATTTTTTTTATTACATTTTATCGTGACTTTCATATGGGATAATTTCTAATTTTGAGAAATTTATAAAACTTACCAAATTAGATTTTTTTAGAACAATTTCAGGTGCTTCGTGATTTCTGAAAGTGCATGTTTGTTTAGCGATGAGAATGAAATAACTGTAGCTCAGTAGATGATATTAACAATAATTAATAATTTAATTAATATCATCAGAAGCGGGATATGAAAACAAAAGACATAATTGTAATTGTTAGATATCCAACTGTTCGTGAAATTATTCGATTTTGTTTTTATATCAGTGAGTTCTCTCATCTTTCACTCGTTATCCCAGTGTTCATGAAATTTTGTTTCCTTACCCTGTCAATCAGTTCTCTTATCATACCATTCCATTCTCCGCGTTCGTTCTTAGTTCCATGGGAACCGTCACGAACTAAATGAATGACGTAGTTAAAACCCAGGATCTTGGACAACTCTCGGACGACGTCAACACAGTAACCTTCAAATTGGTCGTTGCCTGCAAGCTTTCCAGCAGCAGACTTTAACAGCAAGTAAGGTGGATTCTGGTGGATTAAACATCGGTTTTGATTATAAATAGAATGAATGAAGTTTTCAGATCATCATGAATCAAGTCAGATTTTATTATTCTACGATGTGGATTCTGGTGGATTAAACATCGGTTTGATGATAAATAGAATGAGTGAAGTTTTCAGATCATCATGAATCAAGTCAGATTTTATTATTCTACGATATGGATTCTGGTGGATTAAACATCGGTTTGATGATAAATAGAATGAATGAAGTTTTCAGATCATCATTAATCAAGTCAGATTTTATTATTATACAATTTCAATTTTCATTTCGACAGTTTACTTTGTCTTTAGGAACACTCTACTCCTGAAAGTGACAATTAATCTTTTATAATGTTTAGAACACTACCATACATTTTATATAATTTCTGCAGTGCATATTGGTGTAGAGAAGACATTTTAATACTAGAAATAAACGACCTTATAACACCAAATTGTTGGCTTTCTTTAATTAACTGGACACTCAAGGTTTCGCTTTACAGCTTCGTCAAGAGCGTTCCACTAAAATACAAACCGTAGCTGACATTATAATAATAACTTCTAATCAATTCCTTTACAATTTAAACCATTTGAAGTTTTATAAT